GTGTCCTTAACAATACATAAAGTCAAGTGTTATATTTAAAAAACAATAACCTAGGCAATGTTAATTACCCTTTAATTGCTTTACTAGTGCATCAGAACATCAGGGTTATTCCTAGGAGAAAACTTCAGTTCGGTGAAGACAAGCTAAATTTTGATTCCCAGTGTTTTGAGAGTACATTTTTTTTTCATAAACATTTTTACTATATAATGACATAATTCCACATTAGCAGAAAATTACGCCCAGAAAGGAGCATACCAAATTCTTTCTAATTTTAAATCTAAGCTTGTTTAGTAATAACAGGCATTATGATGTTCAAATGGAACAGTCATATAAAATCATTTACCATACTGAAGTTAATTATAGCAAAATAAATGTATCAGTGTAAATCATTAGTCTCCATGCAAGTTTATATGGTGACGAGAGACAGTGTGGTACATAGATTTTATTTGCATGCTCAGAGTATTACAAGAGAATCCCAGTTCTGGAATCCCTATACATTGAATCAACTCATTAAAATTTCCAGTTCATCTTAGTTTCTTTTCCTGTTGCTGTGATTTGATATTCTTATTAAAACAATTATGAAGAAATTATTTATTTTAGATCTCAGTTCAAGAGTATGGTCTGTCCTGATGGGGAAGCTGAGACAGCAGGAGCTTGCAGCATCTACCCACTCTCCGGCAACAGAGAGGGTGAATGTGAGCTACTGTTCAGTTTATTTTTCTCCATTTACACAGTTCAGGATCCCAGTCAGGGATGGAGTGGGGCCACTCAGCAATCTTCCTTCCTTAATTAATATTGTCAAGATAATTCCACACAGGTATACCCAGAAGCTTATCTCTTAGGTAATTATGGATTATGTCAAGTTTACAATGAACACTAAACATCACAATTCCAACTCTTGTTCACTTGACACCCAAACTCATCACTTGGAAGTCATAACTTTTTATCTTTGATCTTTATAGACTCTTGAACATATTATTATGTACAAGACATTCAGTCCAACTTTAATGTCTCCGTAGTATTTAACAATAATTCCAACACTTTAAACGTTCAGTATCTTAACTCTAAGCTCATAAAAAGAAACAAAAATCAAATTTCATGCTTGAATCATATAATAGCACAAACTAAGTAGCTCCATTCCAGAAAATAAGAATTGGAGCAGAAAAACTACTTAAACGCTTGGAAACCTGATCAGTTTCACCAGAAGCCCCCAGTAACAGACATGGAGCTGCAGGACTTGGTATTTGCCATTCTTAATTTCTTAAAACAATACTGGCATCTAATAGTAATGACAACTTAAAAATGTTTCTGTATTCTTGTTCAGATTTGTGTTCATTTAAAATATTAATGTATTGAATGAAAATGTCAACTAAACAGATGTAAAAATTATATTTCTTTCATCTATCATATTTTCATACAATTGCCTCATATGGGTTATTAAGAAAATATCCAGTACTTTTGTACTTGGATAACACTATATTTTTTTCATAAAATTGGAGTTTGTGAAAATATAAAAAAACATAATAAATTAATGCATAAATTAATATAATGCCCAAATCACACCTCTGCCAATCCACCACCCAGAAGCAGTTTGGGATCTTCCTTTTTTCATTTTTTTCTTCATTGAACAAGCAATATCTCTACACTTAGAAAAGGAGAGAGGTGGGGAGATGAGAAAAGGAAGGACCAGAAAGTGAAGATATGATTGGAATCTGTCCTACCTTTGATTTAGGAAAATGCCTTTACAATTTTGCAATAAATAATTTGCATTGTTCAAGTTAAAAAATAGCCAATGTTTATGATATGGTGATAGTCCTGAGAAATTATTATGGTTCTTGATACTATAAATGTAACAATAAAACTCATATACTGCAAAATATAATACATTTAAGATTTACAAGATACAGGGTTCTTGAACATAGGACATTGAGTCTATTCGTGTCCTGTGATTACCTGAAATATTTATATCTGAGCATACATTAGTTATTCCTTCCTCAAAATATTCAATAAGATTTTTAAAGAGTTTTAAAATAAATAAAGTTGTTTTATTTTTTCTGCTTCATTGGATTCTGTGTTTCACAGAACTGAATCTAAGCTGCCCCTCAGTCTTTTGTAGGTGATTTACTCTAGTCAAATCATTTGATTCAGATCCTCAGTAGATTGTGTTTCTGATTCTCACAATAAGTAGACTAACTCAGCAGTTTAAAAACAAGTGGATACACTGGCCCCAGTTGCCTTTAGTACAAGGCCCAGATGTCAGGGACTTTTGCACTGTGCTGCTGCAGAACACTTAGCATTTTCACAGAGCTCCACCTCCAGTGTTTCTATTAACCTTGAGCAGAGTAGCAGATGGCAAACTGGTTCTCTTTTGTGATAGACTAAGCGTTAATGGTATCCAGAACTGGATTTTGTTTTCAACCTCAGTAAAGAAGTCTGTGGGTAAAATTTATAATGTTGCCTTTTATTATGTATTTTTTTCTCATTGGTATTCTTTACAGGGCTCATAAACGCAGCAAGACAGCAAGTTAATCCAGTCAGACTACAACCTTTTCTTCCTAGTAATTCTTTTATTGCCAGAAAACAACTTCTAGATTGTAGGACTGTTATTTTTCTACTTTACTTTCTTTTCACATCTTTTTCTTTATAACTCCTATCATTACTATGTCTCCCAATGGTGCAACACTTAAGAGGAAAACTGGGTCAATAATATGAAAGGGTGAGAAGATAAATAACTACAAATAAAAACTACTGAGCAACACAGGCTAATAGACAGGAACAGACTTAACTTTATTGTCTGCACACACCAGGCATAAAATAATTTACTTTCTGAAAACTGAGAGGGAGAGCTGAATAATCAAGTGGGGGTAAAACTCTGTTGGATTTCCAAACAGAAGAATATGTCTAAAAATAATATTCCAAACTCCTAACAGATCTTTATATATCAAAAAGTTTCATGAATTTCATTTTTGAAATATCCCATTAACTGAAAAGTCAAGAAGTTGTGACATCAGAAATTTAATTCTGTATGGCAGTGACACAAAATATATTGTTTCATCAGAGAATTATCTGCTCTATTTCCCAAAGTGAAATATTCTATAAATTGTATTCCTTCTACTTAGGACTATTGAAAATAAGGAATTAGTAAGAAAATAAACTATTTAATATAAAAATTTTCTTTAACTTTGCATTCATATCCTGATCATGTGTAACTGAAAAATTTTAAATAGGATGTATGTTTTAAAATAATATGTAGGAGACTAGAGAAATGGCTCAGCTGTTAAGAGCATGGGCTGTTCTTTCAGAGGATCTGAGGTTGAATATAATTTAATGATCAACATAGTAATGAATACAAAAAATCAATTTCAAATACTTAAGTGGCTTCCACAATCTTAAAGAGTAATGTTTATCAGTATTTTGTTGAATAAATGTAAATATCATACTTGTTTTCTAATGTAATTTTGAATAAATAGAATCTGAATCTGAATTAATCAAATATTTGGGATTTGAGGCAATACTAATTTATTAATTTCTCTACTTATTACCCATTGCTGAAATTAAGAATTTAAAGTTTATTAGTTTGTAAACAGTAAATTTGCATCACCTGAATCAATTGAGAGATATACTATGTAAGCATATGACTATGTATTATAGTTGTGCATAACAGAATATCTGAGTATGGTCTCAACCTTTTTTCACAATCACAGTAATTTCTTCACTTTGTAAATCTATTTTTTTTAAGTTTAAGAGTTTTATTGATTCAAGAATTTTACACAATGAATTTTGAGTATATTTAGACCTCTTCAACCATATCCATCCTCACCAGGAAACCTTTACCTCCACCCTGGACCTTATATCTTTTATTAGCAAATGAAAAGCTACATCCATCTTACATAACACACCTAAGCTGGATGTCAGAGAAATCTTTTCTCATTAGAATGTCAGTGATCTATACATCTTATACAGAGGTGTCCCAAAGTCAGGGCCCAATTGCTTTTTTTTTTTTTTTTTCTTTTCTTTTTGTATGTAATTTGGGGTCAGAATGTCCCCAGATTTCTTGGAATGAGATTTTCACTCTTAATTTCTGTTTCTCTTACACTGCTTAGGAATGTCAAGTAGGGATTTCTCTTTTTCTCAGTGTTAGGAAATACTTGATTTTTCTTATCAAAGTTAGTTCTTCAAAGTCCTTGAATTAGGCTACAATTTGGATGTTTCAAGGCCTCGCTCAGCACAATGGCCCCTCACTGTGGACCAAGACATTTTCCAACAGGTTGCTTCCCCAGAGAGTTTTATTGTAGGTAAGAGCAGAAGCTAGTTCCTCACAGCAGGCAGGAATTAGCTCAAGAGGTTCAATCCAAGATTTTCAGAGAGGCAGTTGAAAAGTTTGAGAACTTCACAGAGTGTCCTCTAGTTTATTTTCTGAAGTCTATGTCCTTCTCAGATTTCTAATATTGTTGATGACCACAACCAGGTCTTGACAGCCACCACGTGATGATGATGGTTGACCGGCCATGGATGTCACTGGGGCACATGAGTGGGCGGGCTGGTTTGGTTCCGCAGGCCAACCAGGCCAGTATGGCTCTGCCATCATGGTTCCCCAGTTATTTTCCCTCTTACTTGCCAAGTTCTGAGTTCAGAAATTTGAGATTAATATAGAAACATCAAGATTCTTAATAAAATGAGGAGGCCCCAAGTCGTAGTTTAAGTCCTATGCCCAGAGCATCATCACTGCCACCACTGTTCTGGCTACAAAGCCATCTTGGCTTTCTAATGTCTCTTTCTTACTTACCAAGAATTATTTCTTACTTTCTCTGAATTTTGAGATCAATGTAGATGAACCTATGGCCATGTATTCATCTTGTGTGATAAGTTTCCTCACATGGCCCATCACACTATTCAGCCTTAGGAGTCAGCAAGCACCTGGCCCCAAAGCTAGCTGACTCGGGTGCTCCTCATTCCTGTACCATCTTTTCTCTCAAAACCATTGCTTTGAGCTATCTTGTCATATTACTTCTTATATGTGTCAAAACTCATAATGAACAATGAGTTCTAGGTTGCAAAGGAGAATTTATTTTTGCATCTATCTTTCATGATTTTCTCCACCAGTTGAATAAAAGCACACACAAAGGGCTGACTTTGTAAAACTTTTAATGAGCTACTAACTCACTGTTTTATTTTATTTAACTTCATTTTATATTTAAAGATAGCTTGCATAGGTCTATGTAATGATTAGAATGAAAATGTCCGCCATAACTTCCAAGTTTGTCCATAGCTGGTGATGTTGTTTTGGGAGGTTTTAGGAAGTGTGGCCTTACTGGAAGAAGAACATTGCTGGGGGTAGGCTTTGAGAAATGTTAAGCTTTGCCAGATTCCCAGTAACTCTCTATTTAATGTGTATGATTGATGATCTAAGCACCCTACTTTCTGTACCTGCCACCTCCTGCAACCATGTCTCCCTTCCATGTTGGATTCTGATTCCTCTGGAATGGTAAGCTCAAATTAACTCTTCGTTTTATAAGTTTCCTTGGTCAGGGTGTTTTATCACAATAGCAGAAAAGCAACTAATACAGTCTATAAGGGAACAGGAATTAAAATCCTTAAATGTTGGTTACAAAGTATATGTATTTGGAAATAAGTAGCAATCAATCTTAAGATTAATTACTTGAAGCCTGGTGTGATAGAGCACACATTTAATCTTAGCACTCAAGAGGCAGAGGCAGGTGGATCTCTATGAGATCAAGGATACCGTGGTATACAGACTGAGTTCCAGATCATCTGGGACTATGGAAGACTGTCTAAAACAAAACAAACAAAATAGATTGATTACTTAAGACTAAGAATAATGCTGGATATGTGAGTCTAAGAAATCATATTTACTCAAAGGCTATTGGTATTATTTATAATGATCATCGTGGACGAGTAAATCTTAAATGACCAGAAAATGCCTCTGGTGTAGACCAGATGAAGCTAACTCCTAGTAGTAGACCATTCAAACCACTGCAACACAGCACCATGCAGAGGTGGCTTAGAACAGTTTACATTTATTTATTATAGTTCTCACAGCTAGAAGTACAATTCAAGACATCAAGGGAATTTGATGCCTTAGTAAGATTCCCCTTCTCATGGACAGCTGTGCCCTCTCTTTGTCTTGCCTGGTAAGAGTCACATGGTGTGGAAACAAGGCGGTTACCAATGACCTTTAAGAAGAACAACAGTCCCATTCATGAGGGAAGATGTCTTAATTCTCTCCATGTTATCCAAATGCCCCTTGGGGATCAGGATCTCAAAACATGAATTTTTAGAGTACATAAACATTCAGATCAAACATGGTGTTTATTAAGTGCCTGCTGTGTTACAGGGACAGGGACACCTACTCTCATAATTGATATCTCCAGAATGCAAAGTCCAGGGCATTGTCTTGTTAGGGTTGAAGTATGTGTCACTGAAAGAGGCTAATGGAATGGATATCTCTTACATCACAGGAGTGAAACAATTAACTCTATAGTGGTATCCTGATAGGTCGATAACATTCATACTCATGTTAAGTTAAATAACTGATGGTGATCACTCACATTAATA